ACAATACTGTTTGGCCAATTGCTTAGGCGTATTCTTAGCTAGTTCTTATATCTTAAATTAACCCATTTCTATTAATCTATGTACCACCATGAGGCTGTGGTCTACTGGTAAGATGCTAGCGTCCTTCTCCTTTGACAGTTCCATGGCATCTCTGTGATTCCGCCTTCTTTCTTCCTGCATTCAATTTAGTTTTCCCCATCTAGCTCTATTCTGCCCTGCCATAGGCCAAAGCAGCTTCTTTATTAACCAATGATAATAAAACATATTCACAGCATACAGAAGGGAATCCCACATTAAGTTAGAATAATTATAAACCTGAAACTTACTTTTGTGCTGAGAAAAAAAAAAGCTTCTGATTATATTGACTTTCATCAGCAGCAAATGAACCCCAGATGCAAATATTTCTGCATTTAAAAAACATATTTAGTGCTGGGCAATGGTGATGCACGCCTGCTGCGGGAGTATCTTCCGCTGCTTCAGCCAATAGCCGCTGAAATACCAGCCCACTGGGGCGTGGTATATTTCTCTTTTAAAAAGAGCCGTAGGTCTCGGCTCGGCCCTCTTGGTTCTGGCGCTTGGTTCCGGCTCCTGCTCCCGGCTCCTGCTCCAGGGACTAGGCTCCCTTCCTGACGGTTTATGGTGTATGTAAGTTTTACCCCCCAAAATAAATACCCCCTTAAAACATAATTGGTGTGGGATTGATTCGCCATTACACGTCTTTAATCCAAGCATTCAGGGAGGCAGAGGGAGCAGATCTCTAAGTTTGAGGCCAGTCTGTTCTACAGAGTGAGTTGCAGGAGAGTCAGAGATACATAGAAAAACCCTATCTCAAAAAGCAAAAACAAAAAACAACATATTTAGCCCCCACCTGCAAAAGGCAACCTCTTTTTATTTGTTTATTTATTTATTTATTGGTTTGTTTTTGAGACAGGGTTTCCCTGTAGCTTTGGAGCCTGTCCTGAAACTAGCTCTTGTAGACAAGACTGGTCTCGAACTCACAAAGATCCTCCTGACTCTGCCTTCTGAGTGCTGGGATTAAAGGCGTGCACCACCACCGCCCGGCAAGGTGACCTCTTATTAGATTTCCACTTAACCTCTTCCTTACCCATGTAGTAACAAGCTAAACAAAAGAAAGTTTTAATTTATGATTAAAGAAAACTTCTTAATATCAACTATTCAGATGGTAATACAGGACCAGAAAGATATTTGAACAGAAATAGGCACAGACAATCTTTTATAAGAGTTTCCAGACTCTGACTTCCTTCCGTGAAGACATTTGAACACGGAATAATGAGGAGTCTAGCAGAGATTCACACTAAGTAAACACTGTAACAGGACCAAAGTGGTCAGGCCTGCAGACGCTAGGTAGAAAGCCAATGAACCCTGAAACCCAAAGATCTGAATTTTTGCTGGTTCTACCATCTACTGGTATGTGATTTGGGGATAAAGCGAGCAAAACTCTCTAAACTTGATCATTTATTTTGTGGAGACAGGGTCTCAGATCTCCTGGGATGTTTCCTGGAACTTCTGACCCAACCGCTTCCACTCTCAAGTGCTGGAATTACAAGCATAACCTGCTATGCCTGGCTCAACAAGCACTTTACCCACTGAGCCAGCCTGGTAGCCCAGCATCCATTTTTGTTTAAGGTAACATTTAGATTAGCATACTAAGTATTGGGTTTCATCATGACGTTTGCATAACATTTGCGCTGTATTTTGGTCTCAATCGTTATCCTCTCTGGTTCCCTTTCCCTCCAGCTGGTTGATAGTCGATTCTTTTGCTCATCTATTAGTCTATTGATTGGACTCTCACTGTTTCTACATAAATCATGCTGAGTGTATCACCTGATTTCTATTTTTGATTTCATTAAAATGTAATAAGAACTGAAACACCTAAGAAAGCAAATCATACAGAGAATCTGTTTTTTTTGTTATTGGTTTAAGTCTTTGCTACGTCAGTTACAATTAAACAACTTGATTTGTGTGTGTGTACAGCATAAATGGTTATAGGGGACAATGGGTGGCCAATCCTCAGCAGCGGTTCATGGCCACCATCACATTGCTCTGCTTCCTCACCCTCTACCTCATGAGCTTGAACACGCTTGTCCTTGGAGACCTTGAGTGCAGCATTCCTATGGTGTGAGCCACATGCCTCCAGGATCATGTCCAGCAGGAATCTGGTGTGTCTGGGGGGGCTCCGGTGGATGGGTTATGCCCCAGCTTGCTGACATTCTGTTACCTTGTGGCCCCTGCTGAGGCCCATGACCATGAAGTAGCAAAGGGTGATGGATGCTGTTCTCTAATGGTGGCATGACAGGATGTTGATTTATTAGGTCATTCTAAACCAGTCAACTTAGTTTTCATAGAAGGAAATACTCACTTGTGTATTTCATTAAGTCATATAATATGTAACCAACTTAATTAAAATAACAAGTAGAACACTTACGCAACCACTGTAGGAACCAAAGACCATGAACATGGAGAGCATTCAAAGCAAGGTGGGCAAGCGTCAAGACAAGTTATCCAAAGACTCAGATACATTGAGACTGTAAAGAGCTTTCCCAAGGTTATTAGCCCCATTTTTCAGATCAGGAGACTGAGGTTTAGAAAGGTCATTGTTCATCGTTTAACAAATGACTTTTATGAGAAGCTTAAACAGAAGTATAAGGAGGGAAGTCTAACACAACCATGTCAAAATCAGAGAAACCGCACACAAGATGATGGTAACTTGTAGGACAGCAGGAGAAAAATCAGACACAACATACCAGACAGAGCAGACAGACAGGAAAGCCCCAAAACAAAACAAACAAAAAACCCACAAGAAAAATAAAGAATTTATTTAGTCAGCCTTGATAACTGAAGCCTAGGATTCAGGAAGCAGGGAACAGAGGTGTAGGAGGGAGAACTGAGATCTGGCTTGCGGTGATGATGTGTGCGCAAGTTTAAATTGACTTAAAGGACAGTAGGAGCCATGGAGTGGCTGTTCTCAGAGAAGTAAGACAGTTAGATACGGATGACATAAAAATCATTGCCAAAGAAGGAAGAAGAGTGGGGTACCAGACTGAGACCTGGGAGATGAGTGAGCAAGTGTTGGTGACATCCCTCTCATAAGATTTCTTTACCCAGAGCTGTGGGCCATCAAATACTGGAAAAGAATAAGGTAGCGATATCTCCCAAGACAAGCATGGCATTTGGGATTGCCCTAAATGGTCAATGACAGACAAGTGGAGAAAATCTGAGATCAGGTGGGCTGTGCACTCTGATGGAGACACACCAACAGTCTGGAAACTCGGTGTTTGTTATATAAGAGGCAGGTTAACTCTTCTCTAGCTAGTATTAGTGTATGTGTGTGTGTGGGGGGGGGTCCACAGGGGAATGGACTCAGACTGAAGTCATCAGAGAGGAGAAAGCTGTGGTTGATACTTTCTGAACACAGCCTGTTTCCATACTCAACCGGGGGAAGGAAGGTCTTGCCATCCACATGCATCTGAGACATTGGGGTCCTTGACATGGCTGTACTCATAACAACACACACACACTCAGGACGTCCTGTGCTCCCCAGAAGTATCACTGCAGGGGTGTTCCTGATGACCCCACCACTGGTTTAAAACTGAAACTATGCTGGGCGGTGGTGGCGCACGCCTTTAGTCCCAGCACTTGGGAGGCAGAGGCAGGCAGATCTCTGTGAGTTAGAGGCCAGCCTGGTCTATAAGAGTTAGTTCCAGAACAGGCTCCAAAGCTACAGAGAAACCCTGTCTCAAAAAACAAACAAACAAATAAAATTGAAATTGTTTTGGGTAACCTTCTGCACCATCTTCTCACAGGTAGAGTCTTCAGAACAGTTACACTCATTACATAAGTGTAACCACCTCCATCTCTAGGTTTTTGCTGGTGGCCTAGAAACCCATTAAAACACTGTACAGTTGTAACATAAATTTAAAATGCAAACTGGGGAGCTCAGGATGCAGCTCAGTGATGTAGTACTCAATGCACAAGGCCCTGGGTGTGATTCCCAACATTGCTTAATAAATCACTTAAAACAGAGTCTCTGAAAATTAAAATCTCAGAAATATTACTGGAAATCTGTTATCTGACTGTGAGTTCCCAATGTGATGTACTGTTCCCTACCAAAATCAATACACTCTAGAAGTCTCAGTTACCTTGCTGGCTAATGCTTGCGGTCAGTTGAGACTTCTGGGTGTGTCTGAGAATAAGCCAGAGGGCAACTGTGTGGTACTCCACTTCCATCAGGTCTGCACTAAAAACTATAATTCTAAACATGGTTTGATAAAGGAAATACAAACCAGAGAAGTAAAATAAATGCTGTAGCTTGGACAGTATGAGCTCATGATGTAATCTGCTTTAAAACAGCAAATATTATGTTCACAGAAAGCCCTAGAAACAGAACAGTCTCCAAGAGCAGTGCTCTGAGATCAAACCAAGTACTATCTCCAATAAAGAGAAACCATGAAGTTGTTTCTCTCAGGTCAAGCAGCAAGGCACAGGTAAGCACAGGTTATCTAACCGTGGCGTTCTCCCTTTCCTTTCACTCTGACTTTCTGTGCTAGTTAAGTTTTATCGTCAACTTTACATAGCCCAGAGTCACCTGGCATGAGGGAGCTTAAGAAATCACCCAGGTCAGACTGGCTTATAGCGTGTCTGGGAGAGACTGTTTTCACTGATGAGTGATGTAGGAAAGCCTAGTCCAGGCCTCTGTGTGGAGTCTTCTAGATAGGGTGGGCCAGGGCTGTATAAGAAAGCTAACTGAGGCAAGCCAGAGAGTGAGCTTACCAGCATTTTTCCATGGCTTCTGCTGGAATTCTAACCTTTACTTCACTCAATGATGAACTGTGACCTGGAAGTGTAAGGTGAAATAACCCTTTCCTCCCCTAAGTTGCTTCTGACCACAATCTTTATCAGAGCAACAGAAAGCAAACTACAACACTTTCAAACTGCACACTAGGACAATCCCATATTTTGAACATATGAGACAAGGTTGGTAAAGGAACACATGACAAAATTTTATTTTAGCTCTTCTGGGCCAATGCTTACCCTTATGTTCAGATTAAAGAAAATATTTTATTTAAATTTGCAAAAAAAAAATCAAATATCTCTCTAAATGAAACAGCTAAAAATTTGGCTTGTTATCAAACAAAAGTGATATATTTGGCTTTTTAAAAAACAACAAAAACTTCCTATTAAGTTGCTACAAAAACTGTTTTAACTCCTAGCTCATGTTCATGGACAGTCTGCTTCTATGGTACATGGCACATACACAGGCTTGATCATTGTCCAACAGAAATACTTAAGTGATAGAAGAAAGATGATCTTTGTGATTACATAAAAATCATCCAAATTTGACTAATGCGTCCACTTACTAAAGAAGTCATCCATGACTGAAAGCACTAACCCACTAGTTAAACGCCATTCTCATTCCGATCATATCCATAAAGCTGAGAAATAACTCAAAACTAGAATGTGGCCAGGTGCCTTGGCAGTCTGATGTGAATGTCTAGAAAGTAGACAGGAAATAAAGAATTCTGCTTTCTTTCAAGAAAACTTTCCAGAAGGAGGTGGGGGGCCAAGAAATCCACCAGCCTGCTTGGTGGCAGCTCGAGAAGGGGCAAGGCCAAGGATCTTCTGAATGTTCTGTAAAGCAAACACATTAATAACCGATTTTAATAAAAGCCATAAAAAGTGCTTTACACCCTTCTCAGCAATGAGAATGCACACAAACTCAAAGTACTGTTACCTGCAATAGGGTGACTATGTCATATTTTTAAATAATGAAGATCACAAAAGTTAAAAGCCATACATACTTGACGGGACCTGGGTCTGCAGATCCAAAAAAGCTGGCTTTTTGTTTGTTTTCAAGACAGTGTTTCTCTGTTTAACAGCCCTGGCTGTCCTGGAACTTGCTTTGTAGATCAGGCTGGCCTCAAACTCAGAGAGATCTGCTTGCCTCTGCCTCCCAAGTGCTGGAATTAGAGGCGTGAGTCACCACTGCCTGTCGAATTTTTAGATTTATAAATCCTTTCCATCTTTTTCTTTATCTTAATTGTATCTTATTGTGGAACAGTCCTTTACACTGTGTGAATATATGTCACTATGACTGGTTTAATAAATAGCTGATTGACCAAAAGCTGAACAGAATAAGGTTAGACAGGAGAATCAAACTAGGAAAATGCTGGGAGGAAAAAGGGCAGAGTCAGGAGTTGCCAGGCCAACTCAGAGGGAGCAGGGGATGTTAATAAAGGTACCACCATGTGGCTGAGCATAAATAAGGCCTATGGGTTAACTTAAAATGTAAGAGCTAGTTAGTAACAAGTCTGGGCTATTGGCCAAGCATTAATAAGTAGTATAAACCTCAGTGTATTTATTTGGAAGCTGCTGGTGGGACAGAAACTTCCGTCAACAGTATCTAATGCAACAAATAGGTTTTTTTTTTTTTAAAGAAAAAAACTATTCAGTTTTGTAAAAAGTACTGAAGAAGATCCTATAAAAAAAAACAAGTATTTTATGTTCTGATTTTTTTGGCTAATATAACATTAAATTTAATTACATAACAACAATAACAAGCAAAACCAGTATAAACAGGTTTTGGAAAACAATGATCTCTTGGAGCAGACAGGCGTGGGTGTGCTAAAGAGCACTCATGAACAGACAGCTGACTAGAAAACCAATTGGCATATGCTTTAACAAGAATGGAGAGGGCTTATGAGTTAGCCAAGGTTAAGTAAAGGCCAACAGTGACCCACCATTTTTTAAGAAAAACCTTAGGGATTATTTCCTTTCTCTTCTCAATTCCTTCATTTGGTATTTGAAGAAACTAAACTCTGAAAAGGCATATGGATGCTCCAGAAAGAAAAGCTAAACTGAGAGCAGAGGTAAAGTGGATATGGTGGCACATCTGTAACTCCAGTGCTCAGGAGGTGAAGGCCAAAGGATCGAGAGTTCAAGGCCAGCCTGGGCCAGATTAGACCTATCTCAAAAGAGTTATAATTTAAACCTACACAAATGATTCTTAGTCTAGTGGGTTCTCTTCCACCACCCTTACTATGCTAAAATTCGGCTTAACAAATTATATTCAGTGTACACAGTTTTACACATCTCAACTACCTATCCTTCATTATTCCTTCAGTATCTGTTGCAATTAAGACACTGAGAAAATGCCCAGACTTAGGCTCCTTTAGAAGTACATACTCCCTTTAATCCCTTGTCAGAATATAATGAAGTAACAAATACAACTTAAAGGACCCCTTTAAACTGTATTTATCACAAAGCATTTAAATATATGTAGCATACAATATAACTCATATTTTAATGAGAAATTTTAGAATGAGTTAGAAAGACCAATAATTAGTAGGTAAGGCTAGAGAAAGAAATATCTGCATTTGTATTACTTTTATAATTAACTTCACAGTAGGGCAGTGGTGTTGCATGCCTTTAATGCGAGAGGCACTCAGGAGGCAGAGGCAGGCGGATCATGGTGAGTTCGAGGCCAGCCTGGTCTACAGAACAAGTTCCAGGACAGGATCCAAAGCTACACAGAGATACCCTGTCTTGAAAAACAAAAACAAACAAACAAAAAAAAACAAATTAATTAACTTCACATATATGTGTAAAAAAATTAAAAACAAAAGCATTGCCACTGCACAAAACAGTAATATGCTACCAATTTCCAGGGTTTTTCTGTTTTTGTTTTTCAAGACAGGGTCTCTCTACGTAGCCTTGGCTAAGCTTGTTCTGTAGACCAGGTTTGGATTACCTGAACTCAGAGATTTGCCTGCCTCTGCTTCCAAAGGTGTATACCACCACCATCACGTGGCAAAAACATGATTTTTTTTTTCCAGTTCCCCGCCCTTCTTTCTTTCACTTTCTTTTCTTTCTTCCTTCCTCCTGTCTCTGCCTCCTGAGTGCAGGGATTAAAAGCATGTGCCACCATACCTGACCAATTCCCAGTTTTTAAAATCTGGGCATTAAAAGCCAGGTGAGAAGACATATGCCTGTAATCCCAGCACTTGGGAAGTACAGAAGGAGAATTAGGCATTTAACGCCATCTTGGGATATATAAGATTGTCTTGGGGCTGGAGAGATGGTTCAGAGGTTAAGAGCAGTGACTGCTCTTCCAGAGGTCCTGAGTTCAAGTCCCAGCAACCACATGGTGGCTCATAACCATCTATGAGATCTGGTGCCCTCTTCTGACCTGCAGGTGTACATGCAGGACAGAACACTGTATACATAATAAATAAAATGTAAAAAAAAAAAAACGTTGTCTCAAAAATAAAATTAAAAACAACAAAAACTGACAAGTATTTCCTTGGCACCTACAATGTATTTAGCACTAGGTGAAGGATTCTGAGAAGTAAGAACAATTTGAAATAAGACATTTGAGAACACATAATGATACCACACTTGTCCAGCCAACAAACATAGCAATATAATTCTAGACAAAACATACAAGGAATCTTTGCTCAGTTATTCTGCAGGGTCAGGGGCCAATTAAATGAGTCCTGGTCATTTTTGAGAATAAAAACCAGTTTAAAAACTCTGATGGCTTTTAAATGACATGTTTACTGAAATGAAGGAGAAAAATGGAAAGGAAAAACTGCTTGGAGAAACAAGATGCTGAGCGGGTGGACTAAGAGTGTCACGATGTGGCAGAGAACTTTACCTTGACACTCAGAGCAGCAGTGAAAGCAAGTCACCCCATATTCTGTGCTGCTCTCAGCCTCGGCCACTGAAGCTTCCTTTTGCTTTCCCTAAAGTCAGTAATCTAGATTTTCAGGCATTTAATATAGTTGTAAACAATACACTAGAATTCTAAAACGAGCAACTGAAAGAACTCAGTAACCCAGATAAGCGTTCCCAGCATCACAGAAGTAAAGCTAGCTTGAACACAGACAGAAAGGAAAGCTATACATATAAAATGCAGGGTACGAATACTCACTTGTCGAATTGACATAGTACAGAGAATGTACAGGAAGATGAAGGAGCAGTCTGTGGTGTCATCGCCCAGCAGGTTTCGATGAGACAATCCTTGGATGTAAGAAAGAGGGGTGAAGGGGAGCTTTGCCACCACTCTACCATCAAATCTAAAGTGGAAAAATAAAAGCAAAGAACTGTCATGTTTAGAAAAACATCTGGGCATAGCTAGAACACTTTGACAAAGGCTGGAAGTGCAGTGATGTGGGAAAAGATCCAGGATAACCAGTGCTTTCTAAACAAGTGGTTCTCCATGCTTCTGGTATGAAGAACAGACCCTGTCAAATTATAGAGGACTCAGCAGACTTTTATTCTGCCAACTATAGCTATTAATATATGCTATATTAAAAATTGAACTAAGCCAGGTATGGTGGCACCCACCTTTAACCCCAGCACTCAGGAGGCAGAGGCAGGTAGATCTCTGTGAGTTCAAGGCCAGCCTGATTTATAGAGTGAGTCCCAGGACAGCCAGGGCTGGTAACACAGAAAAATCCTATCGCCCAGGGGGAAAAAAAAAAGAAGGGTGGAGGACTGAAGAAATGGCTCAGCAGTTGCCATCACTTGGTTCAATTCCCATCACTCACATTATGGCTCACAACGGTCTATAACTCCAGTTCCAAGAAATGTCACCTTACCTCCATCAGGTTTGCACAAGGTGCATACATGCAGGCAAAACACCCATAAGTATCTTCAAGTAGCAAGACATCTGATAGATGTGAACATGCAAATTTTAATGAAAGGTAACTTTTAGGGTCCAGCAAAATGGCTCATTATGAAAAGGTGCCTGCTGCCAAGTCTGATGATCTGAGTTCCATCTTGTAACCCACGTGACAAAGGAGAGAATCATCGCCTGCAAGTTGTCCTCTGACTTCCGACAGGCACCTCTCCCCACCATATACACACAAATAATTTTTTTTTAAAGTTTTAAAAAACTTAAATCTTTTAAAGATTTAAAAAGTATTTTGGGTAAAATATATTCTAAAACAAAGAACTCATAATAGATTGGAATCTAATGTTTGGTTTCATGGGAAATTGTTGGGTTCACAATTCTCTCAGTCTTCAGGATATTGCGAACTGATACTCTTAGAAAACTCCACAGCACTTGGGAGGCAATGGGAGTGAATGTGAGTAACATCTTGGGACTATTATGAAAACTCTCCCACTGCAAGGATATCTTTCTCTCTGTCTCTCTCTTTGTTGTTGGTGTTTTTGAGACAGAGTTTCTCTGTGTGGCCCTGGCTGTCCCAGAACTCCCTCTGTAGACCAGGCTGATAGTGAACTCAGAGATCCACCTGCCTTTGCCTCCTGAGTGCTGAGATTAAAGGTGTGTTCTACTACCATCCAGCTGTAGAGATTTCCTGAGCTCCTAGGCAAAGACTTACTTATAGTGATTTTTTTTTAACATAGGACTAGGAGATTTTATGAGAAACAGCTAAACATTGTGTCCAACCTAAGAAAGGAAAGAAGAGTTGGGGCAAGGTAGATCGTTTCCTTAAATTCACTTGGGCTTTGCAAATCCAGGGCAAGGCTGCTACTCACGAGTAGAGGTGCAGGGAAGCTTATCAGTCAAATTTAGCCTAGGCAACCCTAGTCAACTCTGAACCTACTGCCTCCACCTCCCAAGTGCTGGGACTGCAGGCATATGGTACCAGGCCCAGTTCATGCAGTGCTAGGTACTAAACCTAGGACTTTCCACATGCCAGGCAAGCAAGCACTTTACCAACTGAACTATATCCTCAGCCCCAGGAATTATTTTTCAGACCTGAAAACCTATTCACAAAGTATGGCTCTCAGGAAACATTATGCTCCTTTTATAGAACTAAAATTTTAAATTTGGGCTGGAGAGATGGCTCAGCGGTTAAGAGCACTGCCTGCTCTTCCAAAGGTCCTGAGTTCAATTCCCAGCAACCACATGGTGGTTTGCAACCATCTGTAATGAGGTCTGGTGCCCTTTTCTGGCCTGCAGGCATACACGCAGACAGAATTATGTATACATAATAAATATTTTTAAAAAATAAAATAAAACTTTAAATTTAATTGCTAGAGCATTGCCTACAACTTCCTAATGCTAACCTTTTATTTTCACTGAATGGAATCAAGTCAAGAAGAGGAGCAACTTGGAAAGAAAGTGCTCTTTGGCATTCCGGCTGCTTCCCTAGCCCTAGGAGCATGCACCTTCCCTTTCTTAGTCTAATGTTGGGTGCTGTTTTTCCTCTTGGAAACAGGGTCTCGCTGTATAGTTGAAGCTGTGAATCAGTTTTAAAAGTTGTCCTTCAGCATCCAAATGAATACCATAGTGTGCCCTTCATTACCATACACAAAAACAATAAATGGGGGAAATATAATGAAAGACATCGTGGGACTTTTAGATACCCTGGAAAGTTACCCAATGCCTACCACTTCTAAAGGCCTATGATTCCAAGAATGATTATCTAAGTAGAATTTGTGGGGTTTTTTGTTTTCTTTTTGAGTTAAGGTCTCACTATGTAGCTCTGGCTGTCCTGTACTCACTACATAGAGCAGGCAGCCCTTGAATTTACAGACAGCTGCCTGCATCTGCCTACCCAATGCTGGGATATTAAAGTCATGTGCCATCATGTCTGGCTAGAAATTTTACTTTCTCTAAATCCCTCACCTAGATAAAAATAACCACTTTCTTCTTCCTTCCCTAGTATACCTCCACACATTTCTATCATAATACACATCAATGTATCATTGGCTTATTTCTCTTCCTGTAAATTGTTTGGTTTGTTTGTTTTTTGAGGCAGGGCTTCTCTGTGTAGCTCTGGCTGTCTTGGAACTTGCTCTATAGACCAGGATGGCCTCGAACTCAGAGATGTGCAGCACTACGGCCTGGCCTTCCTATAAACTGTGATAGCACTGAAACAAATGAAGGAGAAACAGAAGAACAGACAAAAAGGAAGTCTGAGAAAGAGAAAGAGCGAGGGGTAAGGAGACAAGAAAGCCAGGGCAAATCTATTGACATGCTGTAGTTAGGTGAACTCTGGATGTTTATCTAGTTCTGTCAAAGCAGTACCATAATTGCTCCGGTCTGCTACATGCTTGTTTAAACAACAGTACCTCATCGCTGAACAGGATTATAGTTGTTAAGACTATTTTAAGAGTCAAAACATTTTTTATATGAATACCTTCAGTTTGGAGAAGCATATTAGTAAGCAATTTAAAAAGAGGAGCATATTGAATTATGTAAGCCTAAGTTTATATCTAAAAAATAAATGTTCTCCCTATTAAGTAGGTTTAAAACGTTATTATGAGCTTGGACTACTAGCACACTCCTTTAGTCCCAGCAGTTGAGAGGCAGAGAGGCAGCAGGATCTCTTGAGTTCAAGGCCAGTTTGGTCTACAAAATGAGTTCCAGGAAAGCCAGCCACGGTTAGACAGAGAAACTCTGTCTCAAAAAATCAAAAAGCCCACAAAGGTATGTCAGTGGCTCTCAACCTTCCTAATACCTTTAATACAGTTCTTCATGTTGTGGTGACCCCCAACCATAAAATTATTTCATTACTACTTTATATCTGTAACTTTGTTACAATTATAAATCATAATGTAAATATCTGTATTTTCTGATGATCTTAGATCTTTTCTGTGAAAGGATCATTGGAATCCAGGGATCATGACCCATAGGTTGAGAAGTACTATATGACTGTATTCTTTTCAAAATAAAATTTTTATTTAGATAATTATTTTGAAGTTATTTAAAAATAGGATGGCAACATGGCCCAGAGGGTAAAGGCACTTGCCATCATGCCTGACAACCTGAGTTCAAATCCCTGGACCTGTCTGATGGAGAAGGAACAGATTCCTCCAGGTTGTCCTCTGACCTTCACACATGCACTGTAACAGGATGAAGTAGTTATAGGTACAGAAGAATGAAGTCTATTACATAATCTCAAATGATTATTAAAGAAATATGGTGGGAGGATATGCTCAAAGCACATTATATATTCATAAAAAAAATCTCTGTAGGAAGTAGGGTGATGGTGGCACAAGCCTTTAATCCCAGCACTCAAGAGGCAGAGACAGGTAGATCTCTGTGAGTTTGAGGCCAGCCTGGTCTACAAAGTGAATTTCAGTACAGCCAAGGCTACACAGAGAAAACCTGTCTCAATAAACAAAAAGCAAACAAACAAAAATGGTAGACAGTACAGGGGAAATACACTCAATGTACAATATATACTTGTGACATAACACCATGTAACATAGTACCATGTACAATAAATAGATATAATGAAAAGGGTTTTTTTTAATATGTGAATAATGTTTATGAGGAAAAACAATTGAGGTGAAATAACTGTAAATCTGTATATAACAGATTTACTATTCTTGTAACTTCGTTTTTAATTGTGAAATCTTGTTTTCTTTCTTCCATTACTTTTGAGAGAAGATTTGGCTATGAAGTTCTACGTAGGCCTCAAGCTCAGAATACTATGGCTTCAGCTTTCCAAGTACGAGGCTATAACTTTAAAATTCTGATAAAGCATTGCTAAAAATCTTATGCTAATTTGCATACAAACATAGAATAACATTTATTAGGCAGAAGAAGATAAAGGGTTACTCACATGGAATTAAACATTCCCATTAAGGCAGTAAAACAAAAGCCAATTGCAAACATGGATTTCATTCGTACCTATAAGTAAAACAAACAAACAAAAAGATCATTTCACACTAAAAATAAAGAAATAAATAAGTCATACTACAAAAATTGAAGTGTCATGTAATTTCTCTTAAAAGGTTTCCACTGGGTGTGGTGGCATACACATGGGACAGTCACATGCATCTGTTAGTTTGACATCAGACAGGGCTACACAATGAGACCCTGTCTCAAAAAACAAATGAAAACCAAAAAGTTTTCCTTGGCAAAAAGCTCTTCTTCCACCTGCAGTTTCTCCTCTCCTTACCTGTGATGAACTGGGATAGCTCTGAGGCCCCTTTCCGGCCAACCAGTCAGCAATAACAAGTGCTCACTGGGATCTATGTTCTATTATTATTATGATAAAGTCTGGTTATGTTGCTAAGGCTGGTTTTGAATTCTTGATCTCACTGACTCTGCCTAAACCTGCTGAGGATCACAGACATGTACAACCACAATTCCCGGATCTGAAAAGCACTTTTTAAAATGACACACCTGAATATTCATAGGATTTTTTTCAAGGGCTGGGGTGGAGTGGTTGGAATGAAGAACAAAATGCCTCAAGGAAAAGCATCAATCAGACAAGAGAATTCTGACTGAGGGCATGCTAAGCTTAGGGCTGTCAACCTCTTGATTTCATGAGCAACAGAAAGAAAGCAACATGATAGACCACTGTGATTTTGGTTTCCTGCTATGTGCAACTAAATTCTTATTAAATTCCACATCCCATAAATACATATAGAAAAAGCAAGTATAAAGATGTACAGTTTTCAGATAGCGGCAATTTTTATCTTTTATAATTTCCAAATAGTGAACATGTTTTAAAATGTGCTAAAGGTAAGAAAACTCACTTTTTAAAATATTTCCCTGTAGCCAGGTCCACACACCTTTAATCCCAGCACTAAGGCGGGAGAGGCAGACTTATACTTATCTTTCTGAGTTGGAGGCCAACCTAGTCTAGAAAGTGAGTTCCAGGCCAGCCAGGGGTACACAGTAGGACCATGTGTCAGGAAAAATAAGTACTATCTATAAATTATAGTCATCCTGGAAAAGAATTTTTATAAAATGAAGAAGCATAGCCAAGATCTCTCAGTAAGTGAAGAAACTCATGGAATCTTGAGATGTGCCATGCTAAATACACAGAACTTAAAGGCAGTCCTGAGTCAAGTGAGGAGTAAGAGAACTAGGAAATCACTTCTTACATTTGTACGACGAACAACCAAGACTCCTAACTATTTACAATGTGCCAACCCCTATACTGGAACTATATAAACAGCATAAACCCAAGGTGGAAAATCAATTGTGTTTAAAAGTAAAAAGGGGCTGGATATATGAAACAGTGGTTAAGATCATTGGCTGCTCCTTCCAGAGGATCTGGGTTCAATTCCTAGTACTCAAATCTGAAGACACCAGGCATGACATGGTACACAGACACACATGCAGGTAAAAGGTATATACACATAAAATAATAGTTACTTTAAAAAGAGTATAACTTTAAAAAGAACTTTTTTAAAAAGCAAGGCATGAGCAGAGCGGTGGTGGTGCATGTGTTTAATCCCAGCACTCAGGAGGTAGAGACATGAGGATCTTTGTGAATTAGAGGTCAGCCCGGTCTACAGAGCAAGTTCTAGGACAGGCGTCAAAGACACACAGAGAAACCCTGTCTCGAAAGACCAAAAGAACAGAACAAAACAAAACAAAAAGACCGAGACATGCGTGTCATAGTAACTACTGGAAACAACTGCACATGTTATTTGCACTGGCATTTTATCTCTACTAGTGTTTGTGCTCCTTACTGCATTGCACACGAAAACTTGGATATATCAGTGGGGGTGGGGGGGAGTGTAAGGGGCAAGACACTTTTGAAGAAAACAAATATAACCCTCCAAAGCAGCCTTTATAATCAAACTGTTAAAATGGAGGTGTGTGTGTGTGTGTGTGTGTGTGTGTGTGTGTGTGTTGGGGCGGGGAGGGGGGTGCTTGTTTGTTTCTTTGAGCAAGTTATCCCCATGCAAGCCTGAAAGGCCTGGAACTCTGAGAGATTCCACTTGCTTCTGCTTCTGAGTGCTGGGATTAAAGGTATGCACCACCATTGCAGCTTCAAAATGAAGTTTAAATGTGGCAGCACATTTTTTCTATTCAGTCCAATAATACCTATTATTATTACTTATACCCCTGAAAAGTGATAAATTGTAAGAACTTAAATGTAGCCGAAAGTGGCAGCGCACACCTTTAATCCCAGCACTCAGGAGGCAGAGGCAGGCAGATCTCTCTGAATTCGAGGCCAGCCTGGTCTACAAAGCAAATTCCAGGACAGCAATGGCTACACAAAGAAACCCTGTCTCAAAACAAACAAATAAACAAAAAACAAAAACAAAAAACCTAAAAGCAATGCATTTGATGCAAATAGGACTTTTGCTTAAAAAAAAAAAACAGCTTATGTGGTTCTCTGGACTCTCACCATTGACAGGTCTCGATTGTTGTTCTTTAGTTTCTCTTCTTGTCTCTCTGAAAAGAATTAATAAACTGGTTAGTACAAAAGTATTCAACACAGCATAATTCTTGAATAAATTAACACTGTCTGGAAATTACAAAAGCATTTTGTTCTAGTATCATTCAACAAAATAAAGTGAATAAGTGCAAAGTAAATAACAGGCTGTTACTTACTTTGCACTAACAGAATGTTTAAATATACAAGAGTGCCAAAATATTCCCATTTAAATAAAAGTGCTCTAAGTGGCGCTCACAGATTGATGATAATCAACAGCTGTCTGATTGGACTCAAGGCCCACTAAACAAGAGGGAAATCATGCTTAGAAATCTAGCCGACTTCCTGGAGCTAGTGCGGTCACAGTAAAGACTACTGGGGCTAGAGAGACGGCTCAGCAGTCAAGCACTGATTGGTCTTCCAAAGGACCTACGTTTACTCCTCAGCACCCACATGGAGGCTCACATAATAAAAGCTTGAAAAAAAAATCTACTACTGTCACTTTGTTAGGCCAGCATAGTTCCTTACTACACCCTGCATCCTATCCTTAGACCACAGGTAGGTGCAGCCACCACCGGCATCAAAGCAGCTTCTCTGCAGCAAATGGAGACCACCCAGAAAACCACAGCTGGACACAAAGCAGAGATCAACAGATCCTGGAGAACCCGGTCCCAGTGACTACATCGACATCACAACTCCTGTATCTATGCTCAGGGAACATCACAAAAGAGGGAGCAAAAGCATTGTAAGAGCCAGAGTACCAGGAAGCCTGCTGTTAAACAGTCTCTTCTAGAAATGGCTGCGTAAACAAGACCAGAACAATGGGAATATCAATAGATGTGAACATGGAAGGGAGAAAACGTCACAGAGTCCCACCCCTAGACAAAGAACTAATGGCAACTAATGGGAGATGGAGAATTAGCCTTGCTCAGGCATGAGCCCCCTTACTGGTTATCCAATCAAACTAGTCAGCCTTGAAACCATATATACACAAACAACAAAAACAGACAAAACAGATTGTATTTATATACTTATACACGCATAGACATACATGGATGTAACAATAAAAAAGAATAGAAACTATCAATTTGAGCATAGGGGCAGATATGGGAAGGGTTCTAGAGAGGGTACCTGGGAGGGGCTGGAGGAAGGAAAAGGGGTAAAGTGATATAACTCTAATTAAAAATATGTTAAAAAATAAAAAGATAACAAAAAAATTAAGTTTTATTTAGGCTACTATCTCACCTATCTTCTTTTTCTGTTGTCGGCCAGCTGACTCTGTTATAGTTTCCTTCTTCTTTTCTACTGTAAAAATAAACACATAAAACTACATATTAAAAAGATGCTTTATCACAGATGAATTACAAGAAAGTTACGCTGAAAAAAACCTGTGCCCTCGTAGCATTTTTATGCTAGTAAGTAGAAGCACGCAACAAAAAAATCTTATGACTTTTTAAAAAAGATTTCTGGGTTTCCCTGTTATAAAGTCCCCAAGGTAAGAAACTCCTGGAAGAGTCATGTTTGCGAAGGTAAATATAATGGTCTTAGATATGGTGAGTCACCATTATCAACATTGAATGAAGAATGGTGAGCTGTAATTGTAGAAGTCTAGGCTTGAAAATGAAAGTCTGAGTTTAGTCTCCAGTTCTTTGTTTTCTTGTGATGTAAGTCTATCATTAGCTTTCTGTGTCTGAATCTCCTGTCCCATAAGGTGGAGACGTTTATATAACCAACCACAGTGGGTACTATGTGAACCACTGCTGAAGGTTGAACTCAAGGTTTTGAATGTGCTAGGCACAAACTCCATCACAGCACTATGCTCCAGCCCCTTGAGTAAGATCAGTTAAGGGGCAAGAAATGGAAGGAGAGGCAAGGAATACACCTCGGCTGGAAGAGTGCGCTTACTTATCACTCGCAAAGCCCTGAGTATAATCCCCAGCACCCCCAAAACTGGATGTGATAGCGTATACCTGCAATCCTAGCACTCAGTAAGCAGAAATGGAAGGATCAGAAGTTCAAGGTTAACCTCAGTTAAATAGAGTTCAAAGCTAGCCTGGCCTACCTGAGATCCTGTCTAATGCCGGGCAGTGGTGGCACATGCCTTTAATCCCAGGACTTGAGAGGCAGAGACAGGAGGATCTCTGAGAGTTCGATGCCGGCCTGATCTACAAAGTGAGTTCCAGGACAAGCCCCAAAGTTACAGAGAAACCCTGTCTCAAAACAAAACAAAACAAAACAAAACAAAATCCTGTCTAAAATTTAAAAAAAAATCTTACAAAGATGTAAGAAAATGAGAATAAAGATAGCTGTAGGGATTCTAAGAAAACAAGCTAGATGTGGCTGTGAATGGCTGTAATTCCATCCCTTGAAAGGTAGTCAGGAGAATCAGTTCAAGGTCAACCAGGGCTAAATGAGACCCACCTCAGAAAACAAAACAAAAATAATACTGCATACCAACTGTGCCTATAAAGAATCATTCAAAAAAGCCAGAGGGAGATGGCACACACCTTTATCCCAGGGAGGCAGACAAAGTCAAATCTCTGTGAGTTTGAGGCCAGCCTGGTCTACAGAGTGAGTTCCAGGCCAGCCAGAGTTACACAGAGAAACCCTGTCTGAAAAAAAAAAAACAAAAAGCAAACAAATAAACAAAAAGTCCCAGTAACTGGGGAGCTGAGGTTGCAGTATCATAAATCTGAGGCCTGCCTGGGCTACACTAGGCCTTGTTTATGTGATAAGTTGCACCCTGTTTAATTTTTAACTTTATTTCAAAGGCAATGAATTTTACCTCTTTTCATCATTTTTTTTAAACATTTTCCAACTTTCTCACCCGACTGACACTTGGCTTCCCTAAAGGGTAGTACTCACACACAGACCAATCATAACGCCCTTACTTGTAGTTCTCCAAACACAACTTACACAGTAAAATCTCCATGTTTACTAATGTGATTTTTTTCTTTACCTAGAATTTCTCCCCTGGCTTCTTCTCTATTTACATTCTAACTAGCCCACAAGGGACTTTAGGAACACCTGCATCAGGAGGCTTCCATGGTCCCTCACAACAGAACAGGACCTCTTCCTTAGCATGAAGACTGCACATATACATCTGCCATGACCCCCTTTCCCCTTCAGCTTTGTTTTCCCCGCTTAGGCAGGATCTCAATATGTAGGTCTGGCTAGCCTGGAATTCACTACATAGACCAGGCCTGCCCTATTTCTGAGTGTTGGGATTAAAGTGGAGCTCCACCACACACAGATTCCTTTTAGCTTTATTAAAGACAATACACAAAAGTTTTTGATTTCAAGTCAGGTGGTGGTAGCGCACACCTTTAATCCCAGCACTCAGGAGGCAGAGGCAGTCGGATCTCTGTGAGTTCGAGGTCAGCCTGGTCTACAAAGCGAATTCCAGGACAGTCAGGGCTGTAACACAGAGAAACCCTGTCATCTTCAGTTTCTATCTTTTACCAAGTTGGATTATAGTTTTTTCTGTAATGTGAGACTGATGTTTCTATGTAGCCCACGAGGGCTTGGAACTCACAATTCTGTCTTGATCTCCTGAGTGCCAAGATTTCAACGTGTGCCCCATACACTGAACTATTTTTATATTACTAGTATCAGTTGGTGCTCCTAAAATAGTTACTCTGCAATGTGTGCCACACGTCTTTGACTCCAGCACTGGGGAGGCAGAGGCTGGCAGATCTCTGTAAGTTCGAGGCCAGCCTGGTCTACAGAGGGAGTTTCAGGACTGGCTTCATAGCTACTGAGAAACCCTGTCTCGAAAAACCAAAAAAGTTACTGTGAACATGCACTCAATGAACTTAACTGAAACCACCAACATGTATCATACTCACATTTTTTACTTTGTTTTTCCACTTCTGCCTTCAATCTCTTGTACTTGTCAGTCCTGTAAACCAGGACCCACGTTATTCCTAAAATATTAAAAGGAACATGCTAATGAGGAATTATTGAAATGGTCACAACAAACTATCTTTAATTGTTACTGATGAAGACAAAAGGATTTCAACATTTTGCTCTATATCAGTAATTAACCTCTTCCAAAGTCAGATCAAAACATGTTACTTATTTTTTAATATATCCACAAATATGTCAAAGGAAATCGGATTCCACAGTATCCTCACGCTTCTCTCGAGGAAGCGCCCAGGAATTTTTTGCAGTAGACCATGCAAGCCGCAGGAAGTGAGGCTCCCGATCTTCCCTCGGGGGGCGCGAGGGGACCCCTGTGCCCTTCCTCCCTGAGCCTAATCGAACGTCTAAGGAACAGCCCCTCTCACCCTCGGCGAGCAGTGCGGTGCACACGGAGATAAAAACGATGAGCAGCGTGTCTGCAAACATGGTGCTCATCTCGCTGGTCCGTGCCGGCGCTCCCACCCTTCACGGGAGAAGCGCTCCAAAGCCAGAGAGGGACTGGACGAGCCTTCGCGGGACCGAGAAACGCTACAACTTTGACAGCACGGAGACCGCACTTCCGCTTCCGGAACACTGACCCGGAACTGCAAGTTTCACGCTTGCTGTGTGGCCGCTTGTATTGGAAGAAAGCAACCCACAAGTCTCGGGGGCTGAAGCGAGCGCTCAGACCGGGTCTCGCGAGAGTCGGAAGTCCAGTCCCCTGGGATGATGGCGGCGTAGGTGTCTGTACCTCTCCGGTTGTCCGCCTACTTCGGCACTAGAAGCCTGTCACTTGGCTTCTGTATTTTGCCCTCAGCCCCGACCTCCGAAAAGTTCGGCAACGCGTCCCGAACGCCAGGGGTTGGACACTCGCCCCCAGTCGTGGAGCTGGGCGCGCCAAAACGAGGTAGCCATTGGTCGCTGGTTGAAAGAAACCGTTACTACGCCGGAGGAAGCTGCACACGCCGAGGCTAAGGTTTTATTGGAGGCGGGGCCAGAGTTTTGCGGTGGCACAGTTGACTGGAAAGACATGGAAACGTTGACTTCGAGGATGAGAAGTAGTTTTAGAAAAAGCAAAGAACTTTCTAGGCATAGTGAAAGGCGGGGCGGGGGCGGGACGACGGGATACGGTGTTTGAGAATGCATGGTGTGTAAAAGCAGCAGCAAATAGAATGTCTCTAGAGAGGGTCGTAAACTCCAGTGCCCTCCGTGAGGGACTGTAAGTTACCTTGTGCAAGCTGGACCGAAGAAGATGATGGGAAGCCCTGTGACGGATAAGAGCACGCGGTTTCTCCGAAAGGACCTTTTGTTTAGGTACTAAACACTTAAAGCAGACTCAGTAATCTTGATTTGTGCTAGTGTGTTTGTTTGGAGACAACCCTGACAACCCTGACTGATCTGGAACTCACAGAGATCCGCCTGCCTCAGCTTTCCGTACCGGTGTGTGCCACCTTGCCCCGCTTGACTTCTTTCTGGCATTGGTTCTTTCAAATCCACCGCTCACGATTTATAAATCTTCCGTAACATTAGTTTTAAAATTTCTTTTCCCTTGTACTTAGCAGCAACCGTTTTAACAGACACTATGGAATTTCTATGTGTCAGGAACAGTACTGGGCACTCTAGGGTCTGAAAGATGGGTTAAGATAATAGTCCATGGTTCCAAAATTTCCCACGGATGTTGTGTGCTAGTAGTAAGCTATAGTAGAGTTATTCTTAAAGGGTTAAGAGCGGAACTGGTTCTTCCTGGAGGATTTACAAAGGTCACATCTGAACTCAGTCTTGATTTGAGTAATTCAGACAAGGGTCTGCTTTTATTCAACCTTGTACATCACCCAAGGTAAATGTTGCGATGGGACAAAAGGGTGACCTTTGGAATCTGCAAGATTCTCGATTCTGGCTCTGCTCTTGACAGTTGCTTTTGAATATACAGTTTAACACCTTTGAGCCTGCACTGTCTGTAAAAAACGGTAATGACACCAGCTGCATAAAACCATTAGGAAGTTTGAATGAGAAGGAGTATATACTACACGGCATTTAAAGCTAGGACTGGTGTGGAATTCACCAAGATGAACATGATATTGATTGTATGCTACTGAAACGGCATAATTAAACCACACACACTGTAGTTAGAGGCACCATCTTGAAGTTATGCAAAAGGGAATGTTAGAATCAGTGAAAAGGCGCTGGAGGCAGCTTTCTAATTAAGTGTGCTATTTGCTTTTGTAGAAGATTCCCAGCACCCACATAGAAACTCACAACCAGTTTTAACTCATTTCTTATGATCTGGCACCATCTTCTGGCCTCAGTAGGCATCGGGCATGCATGTACATTCATGGGGGCAAAAACACTCATGCTTATCAAATAAAAATAAGCCAGGTGTGGTCACGCATGCCTTTGATCCCAGCACTTGAGAGACGGGGATCATTGAATTCAAGTTCAGTCAGGTCTACAGAGTAAGTTCCAGAATGGCCAAGACTACACAGAGGAAAGCTAAAACTAAAAATAAATAAGCTTTCTTTGAAAAATGAAATGAGAAGCTGCGCAGTGGTGGCTCACGCATTTATCCCAGCACTTGGGAGGCAGAGGCAGGTGAATCTCTGTGAGTTCAAAGCCAGCCTAGTCTACAAGAACTAGTTCCAGGACAGGCTCCAAAGCTACAGAGAAACCCTGTCTCAAAAAAAAAAAAAAAAAGAAGGAAAGAAAAGAAAAGTGAAATGAGAACTGGAGAGATGGCTCAGCACAAGAGCACTGACTGCTCTTCCAAAGGATTTGGATTCAGTTCCCAGAACCTACGTAACTGCTGTCCCAACTGTGACTGCAGTTCCAGGGTATGTATGCCCTCTTTGAGCTTCCGAGGACATAAGGCTTACAGTTGGTGCATATACATACAGGTAGAACACCCACACATACACATTTCTTTAAAAATACTTAATCAACGAAATGAACTGATGCAAAGTATCACTGTAAACAGCAGGTGCTAAGATACTAGAACAATGATGCATTATCATAACCCTGCACTTCATTGAGCAGTCCTAGTAAAAATGCTCTTGCTAACAGCTTTCACAGACAGTATTAAGATTTTAAGGTTTTCCACCTGGAAACAGTCGTTCCAGAGCTCCTTGTCCTGCTCCAATCTCTAGGACTGCCACGATGCTTTGTGGTTTCCTTTGTTCTTTTAAGTAATATCTAGTATTGGTGATAGCTAGTATCCTCCTTAGTTTATATTTGCTTCCTGCTGTGCTACCACTTCCTGTGGAAGATAAGCAGTAGCCTTCAAATGGCTTACATTATTAGAATTGATAGTACTTATTCTTTAAACAGTACCAGGCTAGCCGTCATAAATATTTCAAGAGAGTTATCTCTGTTTATACTCAGGTATGAAACAGTATGGATTCTAGGTGTCAGTCTTAGCCACTCTTTAACAGGTTACTTTTACAAGTTATTGATACTTAATTTCTCTGAGCATTTTGGGGAAAAAAAGAAACTTCTATTGCAGTAAAAATACCTACATTTAAGAGTTACTGTGAGGGTTTGTAGGATTAAGCACAAAGCTCTGAAGTCAGAAGAAACTATTTTCCTTCAAGTCTGGGTTTACTGATGAATGAGATACTTCATTTTAGGCAGCTATTCACCAACGTGTGATGAAGGTAAAGTGGAATTATAGATATGCTAGTGCCTAAATCCAAATGTTTTGTTTATTTTGCTCTAAAGTAAAAGTTGGCAACACTTTGTAATCTCAGCTGGAAAAGGAGAATTGTGAACTTGAGGCTAGGCTTGGATATGTAGAGACCCACTTTCAATTTAAAAAAAAATTGGAGGGAGGAGGAGAGGGAGGGGGGAGTGGGAGGGTGTTGGGAGGAGGGGCGTAAATGGAAACTTTTTATAATTTAATAAAATTACTTTAAAAAAAAATTGACTGTACCTGCTGGGTGTAGTGTCACAAGCCCACAGCAGTGCAGTGAAGAGGCAGGGGCCAGCCTGATCTATATAGTGAGTTCCAGACTGGCCAATCAAGGGTATATAGAGAGGCCCTGTCCAAATAAAACAAAACCAGGCGGTGGTGGCACACACTTTTAACCCCAACACTTGGGAGGCAAAGGCAGGTGGATCTCTGTGAGTTCAAAGCCAGCCTAGTCTACAAGAGCTAGTTCCAGGACAGGCCCCAAAGCTACAGAGAAACCCTGTCTTAAAAAAACAAAATAAAAAACAAGGGAAAAAAACTGTATTCTGCCTGCTCTATAATATTGCAATTATTGCTAATAGTGTTATTGGTTCTTTTAAACCACTGAGTACATAATCTTTGGACTGACAGTTTATTCAATTGGATAGTCCAAAATGAGCTTGTCTATTTCCCCCCGAGTGTCAGTTCTTCTTTCTCTCTCTCTTTAATGAGTAGCACCACCATCTAAGTGGCTTGCAGACCTGAAATGAAGGCACAGTTCTCAGCAGTGCCCTTTGTCTGACTCATCTACATACCGAGTTCTGTGGAGTTCCTGTTTCAGCTCATCTCCTCAGTCCCCACACAGTCATGTTAAGACTAATTCAGACCAGGACAGTGTTCACTTGTAGTACAGCTTTCTAACTAGTCACACTTTTATTCTTCCCTGTAGGCAGTAACAACCCTTATCAAATGCAGAGGGACTAGATACAGAGACCTGGGGAGAAGAAGGAATTGAAGTCATTGCCTAGATTTTTATTCCCCTGAACACTTGACTATATTCACAGCAGAGAGAGCAGAAGAGGAATCGAGCTTTTAGAAAAAGATCCTACTGCCCTATATTTCACTAGAAGGACTAAAGTACTTCATAAACCTGAACATTAAAAAATGGTGAAGTTGTGGGCTGGAGAGATGGCTCAGCGGTTAAGAACGTTGCCAGCTATTCCAAAGGTCCTGAGTTCAATTCCCAGCAACCACATGGTGGCTCACAACCATCTGTAATGAGGTCTGGTGCCCTCTTCTGGCCTGCAGGCATATATTGTATACTAAATAAATAAATATTAAAAAAATTGTGGTCTTCCTAAAGAAAAATAAAATATACTAAAACATATTTGTATCTGTAGATATTTTTATATTGTATATTGTCCCCCAAAATAATATCTGGCTTTGTGTATATTTGTCCTAAGTACATATTTAATTTGCTTTTCAAGTGATTAATACTGTTTTGAGGACAGAGATGTTATTTTTATTGTTACATCCTTAGCTTTTGAAATGTGACCTGGGATAGAGAAACTGTGTGAAAAATGGTTTTTGGAGGAACAAGTGATACTTTGAGAGAGGGGGTGGCTTGTAGAAGTATCTTGAGAAAATGAAATTTTAGGACACAGAAGAAAAGATAAAATTTAATTAAGCACAGGAAAAGCTGTGATCAAAAGCATTGAGTTGAAAATGAAAGGTGCTAGTTGCGAGCAGATGTACAGCAGAAACATTTAAAGTGTTTCGAGAGGATGTGTATTTATAGAAACAGGACTGAAGGGCTGGGGAATTAGCTCAGAGTGCTTGCCTGGCATCCACAAGGCTCTGGGTTTATTACCAATGATGGAGAAAAGCCAGGTGTAGTGGTGCGTGTCTGTAGTCCCAGCACTTGGGAGATGGAGACAGGAGGATTAGAGGTTCAGGTCACTTTCTGACATCTTTCAGACCCTGTCTCAAAGGAGGGATGTGGGGCTTGCTGGAGAGTGAGCTCAGTTGGTAACGTACTTGCAAAAGTACAGACCTGTGTTCACTCCCCAGACACATTAAAAGTGTCAGGCAAGGTGGCACACAGTTAGCACCCTGGTGTCGGAGACTGAAGCTCCCTAGGGCTTAATGACCAGCTGATTTAGCCAACTAGGTGAGCTCCAGGCCAGGGAAAGGCCCTGTCTCAAAGAGGTGGGTGATGTCTGAGGAAGAAAAGGTACAACAAAGTCGTCCTCTGAATTCACAAATGTGTGTACAGTCTACATGCACACCTACACACACATGAAAATGCATATACTAAAAGGATTGACAAGGTAAGGTGGATTCAGACTGTAACTAAGAAGGGTAAGGATGTAATTAAATTTGAGGAGATCCACAAATACTCTGGTACTTTAGGTAGAACCTTTTATGTGCACTTCTATTCGTTGTTTTTCCCAAATTCTGAAGAGTTCATAAATCTACCATTTAGGTTGTATTTAAGAAGATGGTAGAGAAACTGAAGCTTGATTTTTGTAGTCAGTTAATCCTCAGGTTTTTCTATTACAGCACTCACTGGAAGAGAAGAACTCTTGTCTGTATCTGGTGCATGCGTGGTACCCTCAGAGGCCAGCAGAAAGTGTTGGATCCCCTAGAACTGAAGTTAGACTGTTTTGAGCCACCATATGAGTGCTAGGAATTGAAGCCAGGTTCTTGGGAAGAGCGACTAGTCCTCGTAACTGCTGAGTCATTTCTGTAGCCTCTAAGGGTCTGAGGTTAACCCCAGAACCCAAGTTAAAAAGCCAGATGTGGCCCGGCAATGGTGGCTCTTGCATTTAAGACGGACCTCTGTAAGTTCAAAGCCAGCCTAGTCTACAGATCAAGTTCCAGGACAGCCAGGACTGTTATACAGAGAAACCCTGTCTTGGGAAGGAGAGGGGGAGGAAGTCAGGTACGGCCAGGCAGTAGTAGCACACGCCTTTCAACTCAGCACTCAGGAGTCAGAGCTAGGTTTGAGGCCTGCCTGGTCTACAGAGTGAATTCCAGGACAACCAAGGCTACAGAAAGAAACCTTGTCTAAAAAAAGAAAAGCCAGGTATGGTGGCGTATGCTTTAATTTCAGCACTGAGCAGGGAGTAACAAGTGGACCCCCGAACTTGCTGGCTGCCCAGACAAGCCAAGCCTGTGAACTCTAGGTCTATAAGGCACCCTGTCTCAAAAACGAAGGTGGATAGCTCCTGTGTCCACACACATGCATCTGCACTCTTAACCACTGAGCCATCTTTGTAAAGATTTTCTTAGCAAGACTGTGTCTCAAAAAAAAAAACCACCCAAAATCATAAAAATCAAACACCCTTAAATTTTAAGTATACATGTAACGTGTAGAGTTTTGATTTGTATATGTGTGTGTAGTGCTGGTAATCAAACCTAGGGTCTTACACTTGCTAGCCAATCGTTATACCCCTTGAGTTACATCTTCTCCCCCAAGAATTTTGACATTTGCTTACTTGTCAGTATCCTAGATCCTGCATAAGGCAGCAGACATTTATTATAAGTAAACAGGGTTGGGCTAGTGAGACAGCTCATTGCGTAGAAGCACCTGCCATGTAGCTTGATGACCTGAGTCCTGTCCTGGGTCAAGGAGAGAACTGACTTGAGAAAGTTGTTCTCTAGGTTCCATGTGTGGACCAACATGTGCCACACCATATACACACACAATATTAGTGATATTAATATCAATACATTAATAATATATTGATAATATTAATATTTTAATAGAGTCAGTGATGAGAAAGACAAAATAAGGGTATTGTTAGCTCAAATTTGTATTAGTCGCTTGAGTCCATTAAAAACAAAAAGGGAGTAGCTTTCCCAGCACTCTGGAAGGCAGAGGCAAGTGGATCTCTGTGAGTTCAAGGCCAACCTAGTCTACAAAGTAAGTTCTGGACAGGCAGGGCTGCACAAAGAAACCCTGCCTCAATCCCTCTCCAAAGGCACTTTAATCCCATACTTGGAAAGCAGAGGAAGGTTGATCTGTGAGTTCAAGGACAGCCTGATCCACCTAGCAAGACCCTGTCTCAAAAAGAGAGAGAGAGAGAGAAGAAAAGAAAGTACAAGTGAATGAAGCTCGGTTGGAGAATTGCTTGTCTAGCATGCACAAGCACTGGTTCAATTCCTAGAACCACGTAAATCAAGAGTGGTAGCATAAGCCTGTAATCCCAGCACTGGAGAAATGGAAGCTAGAGGATCAAAACTCCAAGGTCATCCCCAACTATGTGACAAGCTTGAAATCAGCATAAGAGACATGAAGCTTTGAATTAAATAGGAAGAACAGAAGAGAGAATTATTTATCTCTGACTGGAGCTTTAAAGGTAAGTCTAGCACTTTAAAAGTTTTTTTAAGTGTGTGTGTGTGGGGGGGGGGGTGCTGCTGAGACCCAAACTGTGATCCTCTTTAAGAGCTATATGAGCTCTTAACTGCTGAGTCATCTCTGTAGCCCTGCACTTTAAAAAGCAAAGAACAAAACCTCCGACTTTCTCAGTTGTTCACAATCTCTTGTACATGAGTGATGTGGAAATAATAGAAGTCACTATTACAATTAACAGAAAAATACTCAACAAAACTGAAGCCTTACTCTGCTAAACACATTACATATCCCTATACATGCCAACCAAATATGTTCCTGTGTAAGGTGTCGCAGTGATCTGTGTGACACTTCTTGTGGAGCACAGTTGAGGTGCTTCTGTGAACAGTGAATCAGTTAAATTGTCTTTGATTCATTTCACCTCTCCAGGGCCATTTCTGAGTGATAATTAGAGAAGAATGGCAGTCTGTTTACTACCTGCAGCACAAAAGAGGTAGCCTTCCTAGCTCTTTCAAAAGATTAAACCTTTTCCTTTGGTTCTGAGGGGTTCTCATACATAGAGATATTTGAATATGCTTATTTTGTTGCTTGTCTTTTTTTTATTTGCTTAATGAATGTGTGTATTTGTGGTGTATGGGTGTTTGCACACATTGGGGTTATGTGTACACATGCCCCATGCATGCACATACAGAGAGGCCAAAAGGACATCACATGTCCTCTATGATTTTCTGCTTCATTCCCTTGAGATGGGGGTCTCACTGAACCTGGATCTTGCAATATTTCCATCTAGGCTGGCTGACCAGAAAGCCCCAACAATCTGCCTGCCTTTTCCTTTCCTGAAACTGCCTAGTCACCCCCTACCACGCTGGATTAAAAGCAAGGCTAAGCAAGGCTATTCCAGAGATCTTCTATGGGTGCTGGGGCTCTGAACTCGATGCTTGCACAGAATGTACTGCCACCCATGCAATCATCTCCCCAGCCCTAAATGTACTTATTTTTAGTAAGGGAAATGAAGAATTTCTAAACATTGTTACATAGTTTAGTTTCTTTAAATAAAAAGGACTACATGTATAAATTGTTTAAAAATTTCCATTTCAAGTAACCAAGAAAAAAGTTATGTCATAAACTGAAAATTGTACCAGGCATGGTGGTGTATACTTATAAACCAGCGCTTGAGGGTCAGAGGCAAGTAAATAGCTGCTAGTTTGAAACTGTCCTAGGCTACAGAACAAGATGTTAGCTCAAACACCCCACTCCAGGCACAGGAAAGACCTTGGAAGAAACTGTAAGAATGTAATGTTGGGAACAGGCAAAAATCACCTTGTCCTAATTACTAGCAGTTTGAAACAAAATTCAGGTTCCCAAACTATAGGGGAGCTGGGAAACTTCCAATAGTTGGCCCACCATAGAAATAGTTGTTAATACATCTTTAGTTCTCTAGAAACATTGTGGCTGTTCCTAATAACAGAAGGAACAAATGAATCTGATTGGTTGGACTGAAAAGCTTGCATTGTATGCCTATTGACAATATGGAACGTTCAAGGAAGCCCCTAATCCCTAAAACCTGATTGGTGAAAATTGTGGTTGTAATTTGACAGCAAACGTTTGTGGTTTTTGTGCTTAAATGCTTGCTTCAACTGACATTCGGGGGTTCACAGTTCAGCTCCCAAGTCTGTTCTACAGCCCTAATGGATCAACCCCTTCCCCTTCACCCTTCTTTTGTTCTGCCCTGCATTAAATATTGCTTTGTGGTAACCTTTTGTGTCTGCTTGGGTGGAATCTTGGAGCACAACATATTGGTTCGTTGTTCAGAAATCCAAATGCCTACCTGTGAGGGCCCCCAGAGCTGATTTGGCAGCACCTGTGACCCCCCCAGAGGACAACCAAGCTTCTGGCTTCTGGTTTCTGGTTTATGCCTATCTGGACCCAAAGGAGAAATTGGATGCAGTATTGATCTTAAGCTCAGAGGATAGGAGACATCCTTTCCCTCTCTTTTTCCCGTCAGAGGAACATGTATCTAGGCATGATTTTGCATCTCCCCTAAGTGTCTTGTCCTGTCTGTCTGCCCTTTACTGTCAGCTTTGTTTTTTGGTTTCACTTTTCTCTGTCAGTCTCTGTCTTGTTTTACGCTTAGAGATCACAGGACAAGTTTCTTTAGCTTCCCCTATACCTCTAGACTTTGTTTTACAATATTTCAAGGATTTCCAAAAGAAGGCCAACATTTCGGAAGATACAGTCTTCCCAGTGATGATGCCTCATCTGCCTCCTGGACCAGGTTGATGGAGCAGCGGGATGTCTGGGTCCCGCTAACTCATTATCTGGTTCTTTTCCCATCTCTTCTCCCACTGGTTGTCCTTGGAGCAGTAGTCTGTCCATGTCTGTCAGTTTGTCGGTAGTTTTGTTTAGTTGCTTAATTGTTGCTCTGTGTTTCATATTCAAAAAGAAAAAAAGCAGCTCCTTTACAAAAACTGACAAGCTGGCTCTGCTATTGGAGTGCTACAGCAGCAGTTGCTTTAAGCCGAGCCTCACCACTGCCCAGAGCTGCAGTCTGAAATAATTCGATGACAGTGTGTGACTGCAAAATGCAGTAGTTGGATCTGTAGGCAGCTTTCTCCAGAGACAGTGAGAACTGGAGCCAGCAAGTAGCAAGACATCCTGCTTGAAATTATATCTGGAGGAAGTAAGAAAAGTGTTATCTGCTTTAATGTTTAAATGCATGAATGCGGCCATTGCATGTTTGTGTCTTGACTGTATGAGTTTACTGTGTGCTCTGTGTCTTGGTTACAGCTCAGCTGTTACTGTAGCAGCAGCCACCAGAGCTCAGGATTGATCTCTGGGAATTCTGGTCATAGGAACTGATGTAATAGGTATTCAAATGTCAACTGGGCTTTGTTAATATTAAAGTTGTTTGGCACTATTCTGTTTTATTGAAAAGCTGGCTCTGCAGTTGGGTTATGGCCTACCATTTTTCAGACCCAGACTAGCTTTTAAAGTTTCTATGTCCAAGGTCAAAAATTGGCAGCAGGAAGAACTAGAACAGAGCAACCAAAGAATTACTGGTTTGTAAATTTATTGGGCATAGCTAAAAGTCTGTAATGTTTGTAATGAAAAGGTTAACTCAAAACTTGAACACAGGGTTAATAATCAGAAGGGTATATAGGTAGTTTTTAAAATTTGTTTAACTTTATTTTATGTGCATTGGCATCTTGGCATCAGATCTCCTGGAACTTGAGTTACAATATGAACTGCCATATGGGTGCTGGGAACTGAACCCGGGTTCTCTAGAAGAGCAGCCAGTGCTTTCAACCACTGGGGCATCTCTCCAGCCCCACATTAGGTAGTCTTAAAACAAAGATCTAATCCATCAATGTCTATAGTTCTGGGCAATGTTCAAATTGCTTTTTTTTAAAGATTTATTTATTTTTTATGTATACAACATTCCATGTATGCCTGCACACCAGAAGGCACCAGATCTCATTTCGGATGGTTGTGAGTCACCATGTGGTTGCTGGGAATTGAACTCAGGACCTCTGGAAGAGCAGTAAGTGCTCTTAGCCTCGGAGCCATCTCTTCAGCCCTCAAATTGCTTTTTAACCCCTTTAGTTCTGCTTCTGACTGTTTTTGTCAACTGAAATATGTCAACCCCGAAAACATGATTTTCATGCTTAAAGGATCCTCTTGAGAAAAGTTCAATACTACACTGGAATCCCAAACACCCATTGTAGTCACTGTCCAACTAAATTTAGGGTCACAACTGCTAAGCGTGAAAAACTGGAATATTTCTATATTGTGATGCAGTAAGATAGTGACCTTAAATAGTCTGGCAAAGAACTTGGAGCAGTTTTTCAACCTTGGACTCTGAGGGTCAAAAGACCTTATTATAGGAGTAGTCTGGGGTCACCTGCATGTCAAATGCTTGCATAACAATGCACCACAAAAAGTTGAAAACCACAGACTTAAAGAATGTTTCTCTTAAGATTTATTCAACTTTCCAAAGACTGGTTTAAAAATATATATCCTACCTCCTTGTTTTTACTAACGTTGTTAAGCTATGCCTATATTGATAAACTGAGTCATACAAGAAACTGTTATGTTTCTATAATGGTACACTATGTAGGAATCAGGAAAATTTCCAGTCTCTTTGTAGATTATGTTTATGAGTTAAAAGTCTTTATTCTTGTATTACTAGAAAGAGCTTCAATTCAGAAATTAATATTATAAACCGTTAAAGATGATTAAGCCTTGAGGTGTTCAGAGCTATACTTATAAGTCATGCTAAGTACTAATGTAACAAGTACAAGAAAAATTTATCTAGTCTCTTATATATTTTCAAGGTATAACATAAAACAAATAACTAAAAACAAACAAGGGTTGTTTGGCTCAAGTCCTCAAACTGCCAGATATTTGCTGAAAACAGCATTTAAGATATTTAAACTTATATATGACAGACAGAGAATTCAGATTCTAGCAGTGACTCCCAAGGGCTCCAAGACGACAGTGGACACAGCAACAGACAATACCACCTGGATGATGGTAACTTTAACCACTAACCACTAGATGAGATTGCCCCAAATCCTCACTTGTTGCCCGAACTGTGGACAAGCAGGACACTGGAGAGTTGATTGCCCCACTTTGCCTAAACAGGGTAAAGCCGGCCTCCCCATGTTCCTCATCCACAGGAAAGTCTCTCATGCCCTGGGTCTGGCAGCCGAGACAGCTGTCTGATAACTCTGCCCTCATCGCCATAGAGTCCATAGAAGCCTGGGATGTCTGTCTAGATAAAGGACTGTGAACTAGAGTCTGTCATTTCGGTTAATCCTTCTCAGATCTCTGACATTGACAGCTAAGTTAATTGTAGCTTTGTTGGCTAGGCAGCAGCAGACAATCAGCTCCTTCCCTCAAGGCTACAGCCATCTTGTTGGTTCATTAGTCAGTTCATTAGTTAAAGCTACTGGGACTCTTGGTAAGAAAAGGCAAACAGGTTTGCCTTGCTCATAAGCTTCATATGAAAGAATAAACAGGTTTCAGATGCAAGATTTCATTAAAGGAACATACCTTGCAATGGCTATTCTCAGTAACAACTATTCCTGTCTCTGATAAAATACATTTTCTAATGGTGTTGAGAGAGAAGATAACAGTAATCAAATTGGTTTATATATTAAATGTCAAATGGTAATAAGTATAATGCAGAGAAAATAGAAAAGAAAAAAGTTGCAGGGAATCGTGGAACTGGCTTGGTCTAGCTTCCTTGAGAGGCACGCATCGTGATTGTTCTGCCTGTGCTTCTCTGTCGTTTTCCTTAGCAGTCAAAGAGATGAAAGCTTGATGGGACAGCTGGTCTTGGACTTCATCTTAAACACCCTGTATGACTTGTAAACTTCACCAAAAGTGCATCGTTACACTGCGGTTTCGGAGGTCCAGAGTGTTAACACTAATAAGGAGTTCTGGTGAACTGAGGGAGCACTGAGCACTCGCTATCCAGTCATTTTAAATTTCCTTTGCTCGCCTTCTAAGTCTGGACTTAAAGCTGTTTTTCACCAGGGTAACCAAAGCCGAACCTTTGCTGTGCCTCCAGGGTGTAAATCTGTTCCAGCTGTCTTACAGACACCTGCTGACTGCTTTTTATATTTTACAAATATGAATTTCAGTACAATGAAAATGCTAATGTATCTAGAAGTAAAAATTCATACAAGCTTCCAGGAGTCACCAAGGTCATAAGGCTTGAATCCACTCGTCACAGGTCAAACAGACTCCAGATAAGTAAAAGTTCCAAATATAAAGTTTTCTTTTAAGCTCCTAAATTTTTGTTTTTGATTTTCAAGAGAGGGTTTCTCTGTGTAGCTTTGGAGCCTGTTCTGGAACTTAGTCTGTAGTCCAGGCTGGCCTTGAGCTCCCAGAGACCCACCCGTCTCTGCCTCCCAAGTGCTGGGATTAAAGGCACGCACCACCATCAGCAAAGCTCCAAAGCTTTAACTTCTGTCCTTACTCTGTATTTGTCTCAGTAGATTTAACAGACACCACCCAGGGAGCACCTGTGGACTGCAAACTGCTGAGCTCAGTGAACCAGTCCAGCTGATGTGATTGCTTCCTATCCCTTCACCTAGAACAGCTAATCAGAGGCTTCCAATAAATATCCCATTGCCCAACCTTTGGCTAGCCTGTCAGCCTTCCTGGGCCCTGACAACTGACACCCCAATTTCAACTAGAAGCAGTTACAGAAGAGAGTACATTGTTCCTATCCTCATAATAGACTGAAAATGCTAAGTCAAAGGCAAATTCCCTTTGATGAAGCCTGCTGCTTACATGTCAATCATTCTGGGATAGTCCAACAAAAGTTAAACAAAACCTGTTGGTAGGGAGAAACAAAGGAGACCTTAACTAAATTAACCTTAGAGAATGGCAAGGACTCGACGGCACTCCTTCCCTTTGCCTCCTCCTCATCAGAAATACCCCTTCCATGGAGGGTCTAACCCCCTAGGAGATAATGTTTGGGAGACCCCCTCCAATCTGCCAACAACTCAGGCCTAGTTTAATTGTGAAGATATCTAATTTTGCCTTACTTTAGTCAATACAGGTGTTACAAAGGACTCAGACTGTTTCCATGGCTCTGCCACCTGTACAATCTGCCACCTATTAAACCTCAAGACTACCAACCGGGAGGCCTGGTCTTGTCCCGCGCTCGGCCTCGCCTGCAAGAACCATGCGGGACACAGGATTCTTCTGCAGAAAGGCTTTAATCCTCTTGGGAGCTAGAGCATAAGCCACATGGCGGAGACCCAGATATGATGGAACCCATCCCTTATATAGGAAACAGACCCTGCTTCGGACGTGTCACTCTTGAATTGGTCAATTGTCCATAATCCCAGGTGAATGCCTCGGGAGTAGGCGGGGACAGTAGTGGAAAAATACCAACACGTGTGCGTTCACCTGGCGGTGAAGCCGGATGTCAGCGCCATCTTGATGATGGAGAATGTGGCTGCGGCCTTCTACATGGTCTGGGTGAAACATCAACAAAAGGAGACTCTGGGCCCCCCACTGGAAAGGTCCTCACATTGTGATCCTGGCTACTACCGCTGCTGTCCAAGTCGATGGCATCCATTCCTGGATACATCACACCACCTGAAACCCGGTCCTGACCAAAGATCTGACACAGATGCTGGAAGGAGATGGACGGTTTAGCGGGACCAGTACAGCCCACTAAAGATAAGACTGATCAAAAATGATCCCTGAACCTTTTTTTTCCTTTATTGGTTTTCAGCCCCTCCTGGGCAGCCTCAAAGTACTATTATCAATCTAAAGTTTAGGAATGGAAGCTGAGAAACACACAAACAGGGTCAATAGCAGTAATAAGGTTCCAACACACCCATACAACCCCACCTGTTTTTAAGATTGACATTCCCACTCCATGGCCTGGGTTAGGTAACTGTCACATTTGCCACAGTAGGGTACCAGGCTAATCTCACTGGCATGGATGTGGACAACTAGAATCTGAAAGTCCTTTGGGTGCCTCCTTTTATGCATTCCCTGTTGAGCCTGGCTCCACCCACAAGGCTGGAAATGAATGCTGTTGTCATCACTGTGGTTGTAAAATGTGGGTTAAGTTCCACCTTGAAAACTCTTGGAAAGGAGGGCAAACTTAGAGTCTCAGACAGTATCACACAGGCCCCAACTCAGGAATAGAGTTTGCAGTCCAAAGGCAATTGGTCACCATGGTTGACCATCCTACTGACTTCTCCAGCTGAACTTGTGTGGTTCCTTTGGCCCTCCTTATGGAGCCCTGTGCAATAAATGTTTTAATCGGGTTCATCCAAGGTAAAATAAACACAGATAAATCAATAATTTAAAAGCCCACTATAATTCATTACATGCTCTGTTCAAACTCAGGTTCTAAGCACACAGTACCACCCCCTATTCACGTCCCTAGATGAAGATTCTTCTCATTAATTACAGAGACAAGGGAATGATGGGAACAAGCAAAAGCACCTTGGCCTAAGTACTGCCATTTTGACTTCAGACTCCATTTTACCTGTAGGGAGAAATAAAGTGCAGGTCCCCAAGCCCTAGGGGAGCTGGGAACCTTACGACAGCTGACCCACCTCCTCCTTAAACCATAAAAAGAGTCATTGTGCATCGTTAGTTCTCTAGAAACATCATGGCGGTTCCTACCAGCAGAAGGAACAAATGAATCTGATTGGTTGGACTGAAAAACTTGCATTGTATGTCGATTGATCATGATGGAATATTCAAGGAAGCCCCTAATCTCTAAAACCTGATTGGTGAAAATATTACCTGTAACATGACAACAACTGTGTGTGATTTCTGTGCTTAAATATGTGCTTCAACTGACATTCGGGGGCGGGGTCGCAGTTCAACTCCCTAGTCTGTTCTGCAACTCTAATGGATCAGCCCCTCCCCTCCCTCTTCTTTTGTGCTGCCCTGCATTAAATCTTGCCTTGAGGTAACCTCTTGTGTCAGCTTGGGCTGATTCAGAGCCTGGGATCACAGCAGTAAGAGCTGAAAGATGGGAAGAGAGCTGTGAAATACTGTCTTCTGGATGTGACGTGGCCATTGTATTCATGAACTCCCAGCAGCTATGGCTACTTACACAAGACCTGGACAGTAATGGGTCTGTCGGCATTCTACCAAGGATGAGAGAAAAATTCATGAGGCTCCACCACTGAGGCGCTATTGAAGAGGACCATGTTTTCTTAAGTGGTGTAGGCACAAGTGACTTGTTCAGGTTTCAGTCAACAACCCCAATTCACAGTCTTAGCGATACCATTGCTGGGATGAAACTCCATGACCAAAGCATTCTGGGAAAGAAAGGGTCTATTTGGCTTACACTTTCATATCACTGTTCATCACTGAAGGAAGCCAGGATAGGAATTCCAACAGGGCAAGATCCTGGAGACAGGAGCTGATGCAGGGGCCGTGGAAGGCTAGCTGCTGCTTACTGACTTGCACTTGTCTTGCTCAACCTGCTTTCTTACAGAACCCAGGACCACCAGCTCAGGCTGGACCCTCTGGGCCCTCCCACATCAATCACTAGTTAAGAAAATGCCTTACAAGCCAGATCTCATAGAGATATTTAATTGAGCTTCCCTTCTGGATAATAAATGACATAAAAACTAGCCAGCACACTGAGGAAACTCAGTGATACAAAAACAGCAAAGGGCATGAACTAGGAATGGGGTTTCTGGGGACCAAGTGGTCCTGCAGGAGAAGGAAGGGATAAGAAATAAACAATGAATAGAATCAAAACACATTATGTACATGTGTGAAATTGTCATAGAATAAATAAAATTTTCAAGAGCAACAAAACCTTGCAGTGGCTCTGATGCTTGTGGATGTTTCCGCATTTCCCCAAGGCTTTCCGCATACTGCATCTTGTTGTCATTCTTCAAACGCCTGTCTTTCTAAGTTGTAAGCTCAGTAAGGATAAAATGGTATTTATATTTCTGAAATATTAAGTAGGAACATAATATTTAATGTAAAAATGCCTAAATGAACTGGGCAGTGGTGGTGGTGGTGTGCAACTTTAATCCCAGAACTCAGGAGGCAAAGGCAGGTGGATGTCTGTGAGTTTGAGGCCAGCCTGGTTATAGAACAAGTTCCAGGACAGCTAGGGCTGCACAGAGAAACCCTGTTCCCCCACCACTGGAAAAAAAATATAATGAAAGTAGATAAAGTGTTGAAGACTTGATTTTTTTTTTAAGATTTATTTTTTAGTGATGTTTAGTGTCCTGTCTGCATGTATCCCTGCCCGCCAGAAGAGGGCACCAGATCTCATCACAGGTGGTTGTGAGCCACCATGTGGGTGCTGGGAATTGAACGCAGGTCCTCTGGAAGAGCAGTCAGTGCTCTTAACCTCTGAGCCATCTCTCCAGCCCCGAAGACTTGGTTTTTTAAGTTAGATTTAGTCACATGTGCGTGCACATGCTTACAATACATGTGGGGATTAGAGGACAACTTTCAGGAGTTGGTTTTCTCTTTCCATCAGGCTTGCTGACGAGTGCCCTTCCCCACTGAGCCACGCCCCCCACTCTTTGTGTAGTCCAGACAGACCTTAAACTGTTTATCTTCCTGTTTCCATCTCCCAAGCGCTGGGGTTGCAAGTGTCCCACCTCTCTGGCTTAACCCTGGAGATTTTCAGCTGCTGTGTTTAAGTATGTCCTGACAGCTAATCGATTCCTGGTGAATGGAAAGCTGAGCTGGGAATGTACTGCTCAGACTCTCTGTGGCATGTAAGAATGTAGAGAAGCCTGGCCAACATGTGATAATAATGTAAACCCAGAGCTGGGCAGAAGCTTACACAGCTAAATGTCGTTTTCTTCGCTTTGCAGAGGAGTCGATTGACAGCAGTGTGAACGAAGCAGCGCCAGCGATCATATAGCTCGTTACTGGCAGACCCAGATTCACAGGCAGACCACAGCCTGCTTGACTGGTTCTCTTTCCACTAGCTCGAGGGCACACTAGTCTAGGAAAGGCAATGCACACATTGCACACTGGACGAGCTGGTCCAGATTCCTTCTACAAAAAAAAAAATGCTGTGCTTGCTTAGGTGACTTTGGAAGAACAGTGATTTAAGCAAAGATAAGCAAGCGTCCTCCCCAGAGTGTTGCTCAATGTGTTTGTTGATGTGCTAATACCACGCACTCTGATTCTCCCAGATGTAGAGTGGGAAGAGCATGTGGGCTTCCCCAAACTTACCTATCCTCCTTTTTCTTTTCCTTCCCAGCCCTACTGTGACAAGGAGCACAATTTGGGAAATACTCCTTTCAGACATTCTAGGAAGGAATGGTTCTTTCATACCCACCATAGTTTCTCCTTTGGGTTTTTTTGTTTGTTTGTTTGTTTGGTTGGTTGGTTGGTTGGTTGGTTTTTCAAGACAGGTTTCTCTATGTATCCCTGGTTGTCCTGGAACTCAGTCCATAGAGCAAGCTGGCCTTGCTTGTCTCTGCTTCTACGTACTGAGATTGAAGGTGTGCACCACCACTGCCCACCTCCATGGCCTGGAGCTATATTTAAATGTGTGTTGTTTACTGTACACGCTTTTAGAGATAAATTATTTAAAGTAGATATTTCATGTATTAAACTGATCTCATTTTTAAAAAGATAAAACAAGTAAAACTTGGTTGTGATGTATTAGTTTTTGTGTTTTGCTAGATTTTCTTTTTTTATTTCATTTTTTTTAGATTTTCTTATTAAAATTGTGTCCACTGCATTCACAGTGGCCAGAGCAGTATCTGTATGTTTATCAACTGTTGAATGGAAAAAGTGTCACACACACACACACACACACACACACACACACACACTGGAATACCATTCAGCCATAAAAGCAATGAAACTGGCTGGACATGTTGCTGAACGTCAGAAATAGGCAGAGGAATTGTTTAGGAGAAATAGGCAGAGGAATTGTTGAGTTCTGAGCTAACCTAGGCTTCATAGCAGGAACCTATCTCAAAAAGGAGAGAAAGAGAGAGGGAAGAAGAGAAAGAAGAAGGAAATGAGGTGGAGGAAGTGTGCTAGAGAGATGGCTCAGCTAGTAAAAACACTTGAGGTATAACCTGACAACCAGAGTTCAATTCCTGGAACCCGTGGTAGAAGGAAAGAACCAATTCAGGAAGTTGTGCTCTGCACTTGAAAGTTGTCCTCCACGTGTGTGCTGTGGCCACATTCCATCGCTCACATACTCTGCAAACACTGAATGATGGTTACAGTAACAACTAGAAATAAGCAGAGAGAAAGGAAACTAAATCCTATGCTGGAGACAGAGCATAACGTGTATAGTGCTTGTCTTAGAAGTACAAGGACTGGCGGGGCAATGGTGGCGCACACCTTTAATCCCATCACATGAGAGGCAGAGGCAGGTGGATCTCTGTGAGTTTGAAGCAAGCCTGGTCTACAAAGTGAGTTCCAGAACAGTCAGGAATATTACACAGAGAAACCCTGTCTCGAATCCCACCCCCAAAAGTACAAGGACTTGAGTCTGTAGATGGAGACCGCTCATTCATTTCCCAGCTGCCCAGCCCAGAAATAATTACACAGAAACTATATTTAATTACAGTACTGCTTGCCCAATCACTTAAGCATATTGCTAATTAGCTCTTATATCTTAAATTAACTCATTTCCATTATTTTGTATTTTGCATGAGGCTTATGGTTTACTGGTAAGGTTCCCAGACATCTGTCTCCTTTCAGTGGCTACATGGCATCTCCCTGACTTCACCTACTTTCTCCCAGCATTCAGCTTAGTTTTTCCTCCTAGCTCTATTCTGCCCTGTCTATTGGCCCAGAGGAGCCTCTTTATTAACCAATGGTAATAAAATGTATTTTTAGAATACAGAGGGTAATCACACATCACCTTCTTTTTTTCTGTCTAAATGAAAAGAAAGGTTTTAACTTTAACATAGTAAAATTACATATAGCAAAACAGGTATCAGGCAAGAATTATAGTTACAATATTTAGTCCATTTACATTTGACAAATTAAGGAAAATACTCTTATCTTTTATCCTATCTTCATGAGTCTAAGGTTTTGAATCTAACTTATCCTTTATTGTAACTAAGGAAAACTAGAACTATCTTTCTTCAACTCTTCAAAGAACCCAGAAGGATATAACATTACCTAAATTAACAGGAAGTGCATTGTAAGCAGCTTCCAAAACTCTAGAATTGACAGAGACATCTCGCTGCCTGGACAGTCACCCACAGTTTTTCTGTACTGTTGGGGCATCTGACTTCAGCCCACAGGCCCATATTATCTGGCAGACTTTTCCATGAAGCAGGAAATTTCAAAGACAGTTTCACCTATATTGGCAGTTTGTCAGTCACTTTTTTCTGTGTCCTGCAGGATGTCTGGAAGATGCTTTCAAAAAGCAGGAACCCCAAAGGTCTGTCTCACTTTCTTTAGGCAACTTCAGCAGTCATTTTTCTGTGGGTCTTGCATGTCTAGTTTATACAGCATACCATCAAGCAGTCCGGGCAAGAGCAGTTTCTTGCCCAAATGGCTAACAAACTCCATGAGGAGCTTCTTTGATGCCCATCATCCTCTTGAAGTAGATTGGTGCTGCCAGGAGCAGATGTGTCTCGTTGTCATGAAAAGTCCTAAGTTCTTAAAACATTTTAAATGCCATAATTTGCTAGTTTTTGAAAGATTTGAAGAATACCTGTCCATCTGAAATATATCTCCACACATCTAGACAATCTAACTAATGTGAGTACAAGTTTGACTGTTACAGTTGACTCTCTATTTACCTGTATTTCTTTTTTTCTCATTTTTAATGATATTTATTGAACTCTACATTTTTCTCTGCTCCCCTCCCTGCCTCTCCCCTACTGCCTTTAGCCCTCCCCCAAGGTCCCCATGCTCCCAATTTACTCAGGAGATCGTCTTTTTATACTTTCTACTTCCCGTGTAGATTAGATCTATGTAAGTCTCTCTTAGTGTCCGCATTGTTGTCTAAATTCTCTGGGATTGTGGTTTGTAGGCTGGCTTTCTTTGCTTTATGTTTAAAAAGTCACCTATGAGTGAGTATATATGCTAATTGTCTTTCTGTGTTTGGGTTACCTCACTCAAAATAGTGTTTTCTAGCTCCATCCATTTTCCTGCAAAATTCAAGCTGTCATTATTTTTTTCTGCTGTGTAGTACTCCATTGTGTAAATATACCACATTTTCCTTATCCATTCTTCAGTCAAGGAGCATTTAGGTTGTTTCCTGTTCTGGCTATGACAAATAAAGCTGCTATGAACATAGTTGAGTACATGTCCTTGTGGCACGATTGAGCATCCTTTGGATATATACCCCAAAGGTGGTATTACTGGGTCTTGAGGAAGGTTGTTCCCTAATTTTCTGAGAAATCACCACACTGACATCCAAAGTGGTTGAACCAGCTTGCATTCCCTTCCGGAAATGCAGAAGTGTTCCCTTTTCCCCACAACCTCTCCAGCATAAGTTGTCATCAGTGTTTTTGATCTTGGCTATTCTTACAGGTGTAAAATAGAATCTCAGAGTTGTTTTGATTTGCATTTCTCTGATGACTAAGGATGTTGAACATTTCCTGAAGTGTTTTTCAGCCATTTTAGATCTTCTGTTGAGAGTTCTCTGTTTAGGTCTGTACTCCATTATTTTTTTATTGGATTATGTGATCTTTTGGTGTCCAATTTCTTGAGTTCTTTGTATATTTTGGAGATCAGACCTCTGTTTGATGTGGGGTTAGTGAAGATCTTTTCCCATTTTGTAGG